ATAGGATTGTTCAAAAAGTATTGACTATTCCTAGGCCAAAAAAAGACAGATTTTTTCTTATACATTAATATAGGTTATTAGAATAAATATGAGCAAGTTACTTTAATGGCGCTCCGCCATTTTCCTGATAACCCCATTAATCCATCACTGTAGAACTTTTGTACGAAGTGACTTTTGCATTCCTGCACTGTGCGCAATTAACACTATGAAGGGAATTCTGCAGAAACCGAAAGATGACATGCGAGGTCCGGGTTATACGACGGATGCATTAAAATTCCCCATCCAACTTTTCTTAATTTTCGCCGGATAATTAAAGATATATGTATTTTACATTGTCATGACACTTTTCTGTACTCTAAATCTGATCCATTTTTTTTTCAATGACTTGTTGTAATCTTGTCAGTTGTTGACAACAGAGGCCTAAATCGATCGTTTTGCCGCAGTTCATCATGCACAGCTCCTTACCAATTCTACCGAATATATAGCATTGCTTTTTTATGCAGTTCACCATAGAATGTGGATCCTATTCCTCTTATTTTTGCTTGCACGTTGTTGTCGTCCATGATCTCCTTTTCTATCACTTGTAATCAACCGCTTTACAAATGGCTTCATTTGATCGTATTGCTGTAGAAGTTCATAGACGGAAGTACGAAAGGGTAAATTATAGTGCGTCAACTTAAACATCAGATTCTTTTGAAGCTAGCTTTCCTCAAATGGCTTGAAGCCGTTTGCTGGTAAATGTTTAATTTCTTGGCAATATCAAAAGTATTCTCACGTTGGTGTTGCTCAACTTTTGAAATGAACGCATTGGTTTTCTCCGTAATTGGTTGACCGCCATAAGGAGCATCTTTTAGATAGAAATTTCCAGAATGAATGAGACAGAATATTGCAGAACATAGCGAATATTCGCAGAAACTTCATTCATTTTCAAGACATTTCAGAATAAAGGAAGGCACCCTAACTATTTTACTACATCTATTGCTGCCCAATTTCGCACCCGAACCCATATTACTGTATCATACCTGTTGTAGGTGACTTGACAATGTTTTTTTCTACAACCCAATATGGATATGTACCAACTAATATGGTTTGTTTCATCAGTTAGTAATACTTATGTCATGTGGTAGGTATACATTGTACCACATAGTGACAAGCCTCTTCATCACCAGAAGACAATTTGGCGATTATGGAATCAGACGTTCAAGAGTAACACACGAGAAAATTAGTGGTGACTAATATTAGATGAAAAACTCCAGGTTTCTACAGTTATGATGCGAAAGCGTATACACCATTTATTTGTATTTAACTTGATAAACCAACAACTCGGAACAGTTATACATCGGTCATTTGCTCTTCTGCGCAATATGCATTTATGAGTATGATCGGAATTCAGTGGTGTCATTTACGCGATTGTCGCCATTTTGCTTTGTCGGACGTGTCAGCACAGAACGGCACCTTCCGAAGGAATGCTCGCGAACACCTACGAGCACTAATGCTTCCAACTAGACAAAATGCTTCCTAACTCGTTTGTCAAGATCCTTTTGGCAATGAAACAAGTTCCTAAGGTTTTACACTGCATTGGATGTCTGCCGAGACTTTGACATGTGTTTTGCTATACGTACGTCTATTTTATAACCATCAAGATGGAACTTGGGCTGAACCTCTTCCGGGGACACTGCGTCTACGTTAAACTATGTCATAATGCTCTTCCGCAACCGGAAATATGCCTAAAAATGTCATTTCGGTACGCTACTCTCTAAGAAAAATTACCAGGTACGTGTATAGCTGTAGAGGAATCTGCTGCGAAACATGTTTACATCCTCTTATCTATATGAAAGGTAAGTTGAACTACACATATCTCAGTAAGGCAACTACCCAACTTTCCCAAATTAAAAGCCTTCATTTACTGGAGCTGACGGGCACCGTCTATTCGATCAATATCCAGATGCCGAGATGACCACCCTAGAGCCACTCTCTTGCAACCTCTCACTTCGTCAACCGGAGAGCGGTCCATTCGTGCCAATGTTCCTTTCTTTATCGTGCGCTGTACTTATTTCAGTGGATTGGTTGTAAAGATATTTTGACGTAGTCTCCTGCACAAGCTTCTTTAAAGCTCAATGAAGTAGCTAATAACTTTGCTCAAGCGTCTTGCCTGTCTTGGCCCGAATCGTAAATAACACCCTGTTACTGCTGGCATTTATGAGCTCTCGACTGACACACGAGATACTTTCTAATGGCGATGGTAAACACGGTAGGCCCTAATTACATTTACGTATAATAACTGAGCCTATTACACACCAGTAACGCCATAGTGGTTTGTGCTCCAACTAGGGATAAACCGCCCTCCGGTGGCACTGTGAAAAGCTGTGTTCGCTGGAGAATATAACTTGTGTCATCTTGGTTCTGATAAGCTACCGACAGCCCAGAATCTGGTTGCTTTAAATTCTACTGTTGCTGGTGCTGGAGACACTATTCGTCATTGACAAACTTTGGATAGAATATAAAAGCAAGTGGAAAGATAAACGGAACTCATGTTTCCCCAACTTTTCACGGACTTAACGCGTCATTTAATGTTTATATAATATAATATAATGTTCTAAAACGGCCGTGCAGTCAATAATGGTCTAGAATAATTTCTAGTAATGGATGCATTGTACTCAGTGGCGATACATAGCTCTATGTTCTCCTATCAGTCTGTTTATTGAAGTCAACTCGTTTTGTCGGATTAGATCATCTTTTCTAACATTCCCGGCGTAATCCGTCTGAAGATGGCAAGGTATTAATTAGTTGTTGGTGTATAGTAGTCTCTCTGAACAGACCACAACCTCACATCGTAAAGCCGCATTTTCTTTGTCGTCAGCGTCTGTGATACACTTTCTCTGGGGAAAATAACCTGCAGGATAATAGAGAATTGTTCGTCAGAATAAAACGACTAGCTAATATCAAGCGATTCACCGCGTAAATCCTTAAGACATTGTTATCCTTTAGAATCAAGTGCAGTTGCCAGTGGGTTGTCTGGGCTAACGAACTTTTGCAGGTACTATCTTCAAGCAATACAGTTTGCTGCTATCAACAGAAACGGTGCTCTATGCGTGGAAATATACGGCACGCCAGCGATACTATAACCTGTGCTGGACAATGTAAAGGCATTTTAAAAAGCGAAAAGGGCTTGAAAAAGGAGATTTCTGCTAGACGGATGATACCTTCCCTCCAACGGCCATTTGTAGCGGGGTTCATTTGTCCTTTGGCAGAGACAGGTGGTGCACCCGAAAGCGAAAGAAAAAATAATAGTAAGACTAATCAAAGACATATTCGACAGTTGCCTATAGAAAGAAAGAAAGAAACAAATGATAGAACCCAGTTGGCCTGACTAGGTCGATTTCACTCATTGGCGTGTTGATTTGGCTTCATCAAAAATAATGTGCGACACTATACGCTCGAACGATTTTGAACGACAGCGACGGCAGTTCATGAGCACCTTGGGGTCTCCCGTAAAAATAGAAAGCCGCAGTGACTTAGGGATCATCGCAGTGTTTTCGAAGCGCCTTGGTTCAACACAAGGAAATGTCCGGTTTTCATCGATTTAACTGCTTGGGTCGCGGTCATTTAGTTCACAGCAGCGTTCAAAATCATTAGCCCGGCTCACACAGTCAGTTATGAAATCTCGTTCGCATGAGGTCCACACCGGCGGCATCGCCAACCAGATTTGCGTCGAAGAGCACAAAAGCTGGTAATCAGCTGATTCGTATCCATGACTCACCCCAACCTAGACCTGAAGTTCTTAACGTTCAAGGACCTGCCGCAGCCGGCAGCCTGGCATGCCGCCATCCAGAATTGCAAGATTTAGGTGTTCGACGTCGTCAACCCGCTTAAGTCTGCTAAGCGCATCATCAACACTCGCGGAGTTCCATTATTCCAGCACGCGTCGAGCTAATTGTCGAACAGTAACGCGCCGCCCCTCCTCGGCGTGCGGCGCGGACAACTTGAACGTGGGGCGATAAGCCCCACGTTCAAGTTGTCCGAGAAGGCATTTAGTTACCATTTTTACCGCTACCGCTCTAGTTTCTCCATAGTTACCCAACGTTCATCAACTTGCCATAGTTATTACGTATCATGCTGCACTTGCTGTGACCGCTACGTATCAAGAAGTGTCCATACTTTTGATGTTGACGCAGTATGTGTATAGGGCAGCTGACTTTGTTTTTTTTAACTTGATTTGTCAGTTGAATAATATTGGCTAACTGAAGGATTGCCACAGATATATTTTCTGTTTATGATATGTATTAAAGAGATTTTTGATACTGAGACAGCGGTTTATACGAGACAAAAGAATAATGTCCGGATGATGATATTTGTGAGAGATCATTTTTGTTACGTGGCTCTGACAGATCGATATAATACCTGTTGAAAATTCAAACATATATATATATATATATAGTTAAAATATTGTCACACATTTGAAAAGAGCAAAGTGGGTTCTCATCGCCGAAATTTTACAATGAAAACAAGTTCATGTTGTCTCGAAACACTATATACAACACTATAACACGAATTATAACCGTAACCCCGTAATTTACAACAAATGACCTGAGATTATTATAAATGTAAAAAATGCTAATTGCCTATATCGAAATATTTCTTAAAATTTATTAGCTTATATTATCTAGTACGTACAGCCTTTTCCTATGTGTTAGGTATTCATCCGCAATTCAGTTGGCCCGTTCGTTTGTTCTTATAAACTTAACTGTATTTAAGCGTTTCTATCGTACCTATCCACTGGTTACATTTTGACTAGAACATCTTCTCGGCCTCGTGCGATTTTCGATAACCCAAAGGCATAAATATCTAACCAACATCGTATCTAAACGTTGTCTCATTGCAGTGCGGTCCGAGTATACTCGATTCCTTTATTGAATTGGATGGTGTTATATCGAAATATATAGAAAAACATTCATCAACAGTACCCTGGGCAACGTCTGAAGTTAATCTCTGAAGTCAGACAGAAAAAATCGAATTCGGTCGGGGCTATCTACAAAAACATTAAGAAACATACTCGAGAAGTAGTTGCTCATTAAGTGGTTTTATGGTACTAAACCTAGCTATATTACTTTGTTCGTGTATGTAACAGAAGAACAACAAACAACGTACTGTGAGCAAAAGCTTTGTCCTTAATGAGAAAACGTAATTTAATTTCCGTCCTAACTGCGTGTTGCTAATTTGAGTGGTATATATACGAACCGAACGTAACCCTCATGAAGTCCATTTTTCCGCCCCATTCGTATGTTTCTATCTTCCATCCTACAAATCTGTTAATTAAATGTCCTTATTTAATGCAATACAGGTGAACAGAGTTAAAGGCAGTAATGCCATTAGTAACTTCAGCCTATTATTTCATCGAGACTTAGTAAGTGGATTTGTAGTTACGCAAATTATTATGCAGACCAGCCTTATATCTGTCGGTTACTCGACATCTACCCAAAGTAAATCGTTTTATAAAAGGCATAATTGATATGTTAATATTGTTAAAAACTAACAAACATTTCGTTTGATGAAGATTGCTTATCAGTATGACAAAAAGCATGGCCACGCCAACGGAGGCAATTCCCTCTACGTTCAATGAGCCAATGTGCTCATCATTTGCAAGACAAGCAATTATGTGAATAGTTTAATTGCACCTGAGATAACGTCTAGCTGGTTTGCCAGATAGCTGAGCCTGGTAAGAGAAGGCCAATATTCGCATTGTTTTATGAGCAAAGGCTTCTGACATAACTCTAGCCAGCTCAGGATACAAATATACCAAGTGGCCGGGGTACACAGACAGTTCCTTGACGGCAGCTTTCCCAGCTGCTGTATTGTTTGTACGGCACGTAACGACTCAGGCAATAGGACAAACTCCACTCTTAGCTGACTTTGGTTAGTAATGAATTGATTTTTCTATTTCATTAGGTCGAGGCCACTATACCTGTGTTGTATAAATTTATGACTTGAATTTCTATACTCGACATAGTGAAGCACGTACAATCAGTATACGCGGAGCCATGTTCTAAAAAAGTTTGTTCTTTATAGTAAAAACGTATTACTTAGCATTATAAAAGCGGCAAGTAATAACGACAGACGTTGATCGCACTCAACAATAGCGATGGAAACGCTTCGTCATTTCGTGGCTGTTCTCTACGTCCTGGTTTTTGCAACACTAGTTTTATCACGGGACATTATTGGGAATGAAATTCTTCCCGTTTGTCCACGGCAAGACAACCCGAATGGAAATGCCACGATCCTACCTGACCCCCAGAATTGTACCACATTTTTCATTTGTTCGAATGGGCAGGCCTATCAGTTCGTTTGTCCATCGCAGTTAAAGGTGAGTCGAACTTATTCTGCACCTGTGGCAACCCTTTATTGCCCTTTAAAAATCGATAAGCATTTTGATTCTGAAAGGCGTCTTCTGCACTTAATCCGAACTACAACTCGCTATTCTTATTAAAAGCAGTGTATCATGGAATTTCGCCAGATATAAATGAACATAAGTGTACCGCAGAAATATGGCGTCTAGCTAGACTGTGGTACAAAACCTTTTGAATCTACTCAGCATCTCTATCTACATTTGCAGTAAATATATTCTGAGTTGTATTGCTAGGCAAAATTACCTAGCAATACAACTCCGCCACAGATCAGTTTATATTGCTAACATGGAAGCGGGTCATGCCCGACCAAAGTCTTCACTGTTATACCGCAGTGATTTTGCGCATATTTATTAAAATGATGCGTTCCACCCAGGCCTGATCCGCATAAATGCTAGTTAATACTATGTAAAAAAAAAAGGAGCTCACTTCTTTGATTTGCAGTTCAACAATGACCTAAAGGTGTGTGATTGGCCTGAAAACGTGGACTGCGAAGATGAAGGCTCTGGAGACATCGTTGATTCAATTTGAAGATAAAGGATGTACAAAAGACCGCAATAACTCAGGACGCTTTACTGATATGACTTCCAAGTTACAGATTAACCACCTACACACGATGCGTGCACTACAGTTCGCCGCCGGTGCTTTTCAGTAAAGATAAAAATGCGAACTTTCTAGTTAGTCTATCTCCTTTATACCTTTATAATGTACATTTATACCGTGATACCTTTTATGCAAATGAAAGAAATCTTTCCTACTGTCTATGCTCTTCCAATATCGCGGTGCTTAATGCTGAAAATCTATTTATTAAAACCCACTAGTACTGTGGTGTAATCAAAACGACTTTTAGGAACGGCTGTCTTGCAAACTTGGAACTAAATCAAGTAAAGTTATCGAATTTTAGAAATAAACGTTTTATTCAAACTAACAAAATACGATTTGTAGTAAATTGTTTATTTTTTTGTTTAGCTTAACCCTAGTCAATTCAACGATTAAATTTGTTTAATCTCGATAAACATTTGGGGTTCAATTTACAAACGGAATAGTCATACACTAAGACACGATTCGGAGCACAGCTTGTGTCAAAAAAAAACTATTATGTCTTCGTTTGCTGTAAAGAGTTTTAAATAGTTATTGTTAGTAGTCAGAGAAAGTAATGTGAATTTGTACAATTCGTTGCGAGGATAGAATCTCCTTCTAATAACAGTATAACCGCTAAAGATAGGGTAGATGTCTCTTATAATGGGAACTTTTAAAAAGCTGCGCCTGACTCATTCCACTTTAACGTTAAGGCCATTCTAGAAATAATGTATCAAAAACCGTACAAAGTAAATGCATATTTGGATCAGAATCGCCACACACAAGATCATTTATACGATGTCTTCGGGTTGAGACCATTCAACATCGTAAAACAAGGATGCCTTCAAGCTTAGAATGTAACAGAAAGGAATCCTGTTGAGGAACTTGTGAGAACTTAATTTTGCAAATCTGTTCTTTAGAGATACCACTTAGCGTTGAAATGTAGGCGTTCTCCTCGTGTCGAAGTTCTATTACGTTTATGACGGTCTCAGTAATCATGTAACATTTTCTACAGGACATCGCACAAAATTCACTGTAAATTTATTTTGCTTTCCTCAAACTGTTTCGCAGACTTATTTTACTTTCCTCTAAAAGTTCACTTTGTTGTCGATTCTGCACGCTTATCAATCAAGCCATAGTTGGCCATTATAAAATCATGCATGGCATACAATACGCTTAATTATTATCATAATAGCGGTATACATTTCCAAGCCAAAACTAATAAACAAAACCTTTAGCTATAAAATATTAACTTCCCACGGCCGGTTCTGTAAAAGGGATCCTTGAAGTAGAAAGACTATATATCCACTAACTCTCAGCGGCTTATTAGTTACCGGATTTCTCAACGGAACACGAACGATTAAATAACCGTCTCCCTAAAAGTAAAACCTAGATTGAATTATCATTGTAATTGAATGCAGTATTTATTTTTGTACATATTAAGCCTATAATTAAACATGTATCTATGTACACTCATGCTATTAACCTATGTAACGTTTTGTTTCAATTTCAAATAATAGAGCAAGATAGCCAATAAATTTTTGATAACACAGAACACACTATTCCTCAGTCGCCTATGATTTATTAACTATAGAATACTCTATTATGTTAGTTTCTGCCAAGGTATGAAGACATGATTCAGCTCGTATACTTCATTTTTGTCCGTTTCCCTTCGACATGTTTGACCCGTTATCAACATTAAGGAGAATCTTTGTTATAGTTTAGGTACAACGAATACACGCGAGTTGGTCGCGCAGTCACTTATACCAAACCAGAACCAAGTCTATGTAATGCCGTCATTTTTAGCCTCTTCTTCCATTTGATTCACAAGCCTAAACTAAACTGCGGTTTTTCCTTCATCTGTACCGTTTACCATAGCTAAATCTGTCAATCGTCATCTATTTCACCTTCTTCCAAATCGCTCGTCGGATCGCCTTTATTATCGCTGTCATTTTTTTGCGGTGTCCCTTCAGCTATGCAATCCTCGTCCATAGTTATTGGCCTAACTCGTTTCGGCCTACCATACTGGTTGTCGTCATCATCATCAGTCGATACCGAAGAAGAACTCTGAGCTTCGCCCAGAATGGACTCCTCAAGGCGACGAATTGTTCTATATGCTTTCTTTTCAACCTCACTTCGTTTGCGCTTCCTTTGAACCTCTTTATACTCTTCGCGATCTGGAGCGAATATATTATTGATCTCATCGCTAGTAATTTGCCCATCGGATCTAACTAAATGTAGAAACACCCCGCCAGCAGTTCGCCGTCTTGTTCCGTTATTGACCATAAGGCCACCATTTGCCTCGATATTCTCAGTGGCATATAGCAGTTCCAACGATTTTTTACTACCGATGATATTCACAACCCGTTCGATCAGGCCGATCTGAAACCAGGTTGAAGACAGCAGTTTTTCTTACATATTTTTGTGTTTGCATGAATACTATATACTTTCTATGAATGTACAGTGATTTTTCACCAGTCTGCCTTTATGATTGACAGAAAGCAATAGGGTACTGAGTATTCACTTCAGAACAGACCTAAATAATTTTAGAACTAGAAACTAGAGACTTTTTTTTCTTTTTTTTTTTTTAGAATTTCAGAAACTAGAAACCATTTTTTTTGTGTAACTTCTACGGGCAGAATAACCTAAGACCCTTAATTAAACTAACAGCACAGGCAAGGTCATGTACTCTTGATGGCCTTGTTGCTCTTATATCATTTTGAGTTATTTCTACTGGCTTCAATTAATGATAGTTTTAGATCTAGTCTATTGCACATCAAGTGGTAATAATAAAATAGATATGGGTGAACAAGCCCATCTTGATCCGTATAATACCTTTGGTTCGTCCAGTCTTTTGCAGAGGGCCTGCACAACCTCATCAGTAGAGGATGCAGGTGAAATCTCTTTGATGGCTCCTGGGATGCCAAGACGTTTGCGCACTCGATGGGCCCGAGCGCTTTCTTCTTGCCTGATTATAGAACAAGATACAGTAAAATAAAGGTATATGTAAGGCAGCTGCATCTAAAACGCACACAAATAGTGTTCAAGCGTGAAAAATAGTGGATTCATCCAAGCATTCAGGATATGTAAGAAGTTTAAGAAATTATAGCACGATCTTGGATGCCCAAAAAAAGCATTCAACTAAAGCGTTTTATTAACATTTACCTGATCTTTTCTAGCTCTTTGGGAATGCCTTCGATACGAATTGGCTCCACTTGAGGTCGCTGGTCTAAGCGGGCTCTCGTAAAGTCGTAACTTTCCACTCCGCGGTTTTCCCTTTCATCTGGTAAGCCCTCTACGGTAAAGCCCTGTCCATTATTAAAAAAAATATTATTAATACTATTATTATTATTACGTTTATAAATCGCAGGGACAGTACCATAGTTTTGTTATAACTGTGTAATACCTAACTTTCTCACGTGACTTATTTTTCTTCAATTAGTACACATTTCGATGTAGCTTATGCAGGGTCTGGGTATATGCGTCTTCTGCCGCTAATTAATTAACTATAGACGAATAGGACACGTGACTTTTAAATTTGCGCGCCATTATGTGAATGAACGAATTCGACAAATAAGAGAACAGCTGATTCCTTTACCTATGTTTTGTTCGCAAGGCCGAATTTTGAATACGCCGGGCACCATAACTCTATGAAGGTGAGGCTAATAATAAAAAAAAAACTCGTTTAAATAGGTTCTATTGTGTCCGCAAATATTACCCACCATGTGTACTAAGACAGCCTTTTAAGTCGGTCAATAATACGTAAAATTCAAGTAAAGGTTCACATAATAAAATGCTGATTCTAAAGTTTTCTTAAATCGGGCTATGCCTGAATATTACCCAACGACATGAATGAACCACTTTATTAATGGGTATAGTATACTTGCCACCTAGTACGCTCGGCGGAAACCGTAATTAGTTAGATAAAAAGATAAGTCCACAATTTTCCCCGAATCTAGGCCGTCCGAGGTTTGGCCGTACGCAAATGTCATTCCTAGTAGAATGACACATCAGGTGTGCTATCGGCTCCTATTATTCATCGTTAATTAGTATTTTTGTATGTAAAGCATGCATGTAAGGTAGCATCTCGAACACTATCATAGTGTAAATCTGAAGGGGTGCCGATCTAAAAGACGACAGGTGACATCCAGCAATTTTGTAGATATTTTTAAAAGGATACCAATAATAAGAAAAAAAAATCAAACTAAAGTAATATTTTATAATATAATCTTATTTTGTAATTACCTGAGTGTAATTTATTTTCGTTTGTTCATGAAGCATAGCTTCTCTAACATTAGTGTTTTTAATGTATGTAATATTGACGTTCAGTTAGTCTTGTGCCAGTTTTTTTGGTGTCTAGTGTACGTGATGTTTCGACAGAATTATCGTCTATCAGTGATTATCCAATCCGGCGTTCGCATCGGCGGAAGACTCCATTCATCAGGACGTCGGACCGATAAGTCACATCAAAATCTCCACCGTACCTTCATAAGTAATAGCTATGGTAGCATTGGTACCACGCGAAACGTACGAAATACCCATTCCGACGTGACAATAATTGGTGGAAACCTAATTGGCTCGGCAGCCGCTGCAGCCATAGCGTCTTCGATAGCATTCACTGATCGAAAAGTGACTCTAATTGAACGCAGAGAGATCCGATTCCCGGAAGACCTCGATCGATGGTCGAACCGCGTTTATGCCATCACACCCGGAACTAAAGAGTAAACCCAATTTTTCTACGTTCTATTAAATTAAGGGACAGAAATAAATGTGTAATAATACAGTGAACAGGTCAATAAAACACTAACCCTAGTTGATCTAAACGGATTATAAGAGGAAATCCGTTAGATACTTTTAGCAAAGCTTCGAAAATGTGTGCAGAGTATTTAATCAGACTGTCCATGGAGCTCATGTAAACATTCTAAATAAATACACGTTACTAGTGAAGCTTATTTAACAAGCAAACAGCGTAGATGTTTGGCCTTGATTATTATATGTACATTTATGTTTCGCTTCGGTTGGCGATATGAGTTTTGTGGCGACAAGCTCCAACAGTTCAAAATTCGCAGTCTTTCACGTTTTCCCTGCACTCTACAACTAGATTGTTTTGGGGATTTGGAACTATTTGTTGTGGAAAATCCTGCGCGGTTGGATTCTTATTGCAGCGGTTGAAGTAGAAACTTTTTTGTACAAATCTCACTTCCCAGTGCTTACAGTACCTAAAAACAAATACTGCATGCAAATTCAAATCAATACGCATGGTGTACTAAAGAAACTTTCTTATTCTTTTTCAGCTTTCTGGTTCGTATTGCGGTATGGCAAAAACTCAAACCGAAGCATATACACGTCTGTCGGCGAATGTTTATCTGGGAAAACTTTAGTGATGCAGCTCTACATTTCACCGGCGAAGCCCGTGATACTGAAAGCAACGCCGAATCGGATGTCGTCTGTTATAATATTGATCAGCACACCCTATTGTATGCCATATACGAGAGGCTAAAAGAGCTACCTAATATTGAAATTCGAGACAAGACAAGAATCACCAAGACCTATCTACCTACAAATGGTTTACCGAAGCTCGATTCGTCGGTGCCCGAGGCGGGACATAAACCGGTGTGTCTTGAGATATTAGGTGCCGACGAAGTGCACACAACGGATATGCTCGTAGCAGCCGACGGCTTTAACTCTCAAATCCGCAAACTGATGGGCGTCCAAAACGTGTCCTGGAGCTATAAGCAAAAATCGATCATTGCTGTTGTAGATCTCGATGGGCTTAGTGATGTCGATGGTACAGCCTTCCAACGTTTCATACCTGACGGCGTCGTAGCTCTATTGCCGCTGGGAAACAAGCAGGCATGCCTTATCTGGTCGCTGGTGGACCCTGCGGCGGAGTACAAGCTAAAAATGGCGAATGAAGAGTTTGTCGATGCCCTTAATGAGCAACTGCATGGAACACTTGACTACAATGAAGCTGTCATGTCTGTTTTACATGGCACTCAGGTAAGCACATCATGAGAATTGTAGGCACTGGACTTAGCATATTTACTGTTTTATAAGATCAAGCATTAACATAAAATGATACAACTCATTCCCTAAAATGTTACTTAACAGCTACGAATGAATCACATCGTATTTGTTCCTTCCAGATAATAATGAATTCAGTGGGCTTATTGAAATCTAATGGCAAAACACGTGTAAACCCTCCACGTGTAGTAGGAGTACAACCCCACACGCGCGCCTCGTATCCGTTGGGAATGGGTCATGCAGTTCAGTATGTCGTTCCCAGGGCTGCGCTTGTTGGCGACAGTGCCCATCGAGTGCATCCGCTAGCCGGACAGGGTGCCAATTTTGGCTTTGCTGACGTTGAATGTTTAACCCGTCACCTCGAGGCCGCGGCTTTTCGAGGAGAACGACTCGGAAGTTTCAATACCCTCCAGGCGTACGAACGTGAGCGACAGTGTGCACTGTTGCCCTTCCAGGTCTGATAATGAAAATAATACTGACTTCCGCCACCAATAAATATTTGTCGTTATAGCAAATGAATTATCAATAACTGTCAAGGTCTCAGCCGAACAATACCTTAAATAGAAATTACCTCTAATGAGCGATCACATCTAGAAGTTACAGTTCGATTGAGTGAAATATAATTTCACATCTAATACCTAACAGATGGTCTCTGTAATTATTTATATTTCAGGTTGCTATTGAGAGTTTAATACACATCTATCAGAACAATAAGCTTCCCGTTGTTTTGGCAAGGAGCCTCGGCGTTCAACTTCTTGATGCTCTTCCATATTTGAAACATAAGGTTGTTCAGTATGCATCGCGATGAGATGTGCATGCATCCAGTCGTACATTTAGAATTAAAATAATCAACTAAACTACATCATTTTAGAATGCTCTGTGTATATGAATAGTTAATAAAGTTCATCGCTAAGTTTATAATTGTGAAAGTGGCTCTTCAGTTTTGACCAAAAAAACATGCTTATACAAAGCTTGTCGTTAAAAATATATATGTTCTTGCAGCAAGGTAAAAAGCCCATCTCAAGAGAGTCATTTTTTAGTACAGAATATCAATTTTTTATATTCTCAATAGAACTAGGGTCATGGTTATACTGGATCGTGTTTGAAGCAAATGTTCCAGTCGGACTGAACGTGTTGCCCAGATTTAACAAAAAAAAAACTGACTCTAAGCGATTTCCCTTCTTATTCTAATATCGAGACTCATCAGTAGTGATTGCAACTTTTACACGCATATACGTTCTTAACTATGGTTTCGTCCCGTTTGATCACTTTAGACCAAACATAAAATTCCTGGCCGTTTGATCTATGGTAAGCTGAGCTTAAAAAGGTTTTTTTTTGTAATTAGGCGCTGTATCGTAGATAGTAATACATCACTTTTTCAAAACCACGCAAAAAATGCATGTTATAACACAATTTGTGCATCAATAATATTCCTTGCAGAGTTCACTGTTCTCAAAAAATGTTTATACAAGATTCACTAACATTTGTCAACCTACTGCTAATCAACGGCCGATTTTGGTGATCGGTGTCTGCACTCTAGGAATCACTCATTTTACACATTCTTTCTCAACTTACCGATCCCATGTTTTCCATAAGAGCCTGTTCCTGAATAACGTTGCCCCATATGTGATTTGCTCTTCGCGCCCCTCGCTTAAGAGCCGCCCCAGTGTCGCTTTTAGACCTCCATCGTACGTGTTCAGCCTGTAATTGTCTCATAGAACAGTATACTTTCATTAGGGATTTTTGAGCGTTTTTAATTTAAGGCAAAACTTTTTAAGGATTTAAGGAGTCGTTAATGTGCTTTAACCACGCACGACATAAACTGTATTAAACTTATATGGATAGAATACACAAATTAACTAACCGATATCGAAGACGGTAAATCTTCAATATTAGGCGGATAACGATTCGAAGATCTCTTCCAATTATCCCCTTCATTATCTGAGCTGTCGGTCTCAGTGCCGGAGTCTACGGCTTTTGTCCGGTACATCTGGAAATGAAACTAGAAATTTTAGTTTTACTTAATTTTTTCTATAAAAGATGCAAACATATCATGATGGAATGGAAACAAACAAAACTAAATGTGCACTACACAGTACGTTTATGACACCATCGTTGCTGTTTAACAGACGTAATGTAATTGCTTACATAAAAGACTTTTTCCCTACTCAAAAACGCTTTAGGCGATGTTCACATCAGTTGGCGACAGGGAAATTTTTTAAATAAGTTACTGCTTCATTATTGGATAAACACATGTCATAATTGAGCGAAGTCCAAATAAGATATAAAGTTAGCAGCGAGTAGATTAATTTACCTAATCCAAAATTTATTGTACAACTCGAATGTGTAGACGCATAAGAATATGCAGTAAAAATATATAGACAATGCGAGTGTTATAGGTACGAGTGTGATAATCAACTTAAAAAAAGCTATAGTTTTTTGCTAATTTTAGTAAAATGACAAGTAGATAGAAAAGTGGTAATGGAAGGAGCCAGCCGTCAGAAACAATGCCCCACAATAGTACCCGACATGAAAACTCAAAACATATATTAAATAGAAAAAAATAACGAATGGAATTAACACAGAAAGATCACTCGCGAATGGTAATGATTATTCAAGATATTATAATGTTATGGGCAAATCTTAACAAATTGCTATGGGCATACCGGAATCTAAGAAATATCGAATAGGCCAAGCAATTTAGCAAACAGGTGTGTAAGTATGCGTAACACTCGTGTAGTGTTAATTGTCTGTATTAGTCTAATAAGTAATGCGAACAAACACATTTGCTTGCTATTTACATGATTTGAATAGTAACCTTATTTTGCAGGCTAGCATTAACTACGACCAAAATAGTCCTTAAGACGACTATTTGCGCACGATAACTTAAAAACGCAAACTTATATACCAGCGTTAAGTATGATGACATCTCAAGAGGTCATCAAACATTATCTAAGATTTCAAACCTAAGACAATAATTTGGCTGTTATTAGATTATCCCCTTTGCCAAATAATTAGAATAAAAGATCACGCATATTTGTAAGTTTTTTGAGACGCCTCCCAACCACAACCCATAACTGTACGATCAACTCCGTCTCGCAAAATGTTACATGGTGGTATATCATAAATGAACGCAAGCATTGTCGAAATAACGATATATTTACGAAAGGCCATACCTATGCAGCTACGCCTATATTTAAGGAAAAATGTGTTTACATATGACAGTTTCCTATAGCACTTCTACGCGCCTTAAATTTAACAATGTTTACAGTTCGTCCGTACCCTGCAGATACGAGAGTAAAAGCACTGAGTTATATAGTCTATACCTACAATTAACTGATAGCACAAGATGGGCAAAATTACTATTGCGCACACACTGAGTCCACAAAGCTGTCACCCAACTATAGCCGATATATAGGGTAAAACCATAGTTTGGCCAGCTAAGGCATGCACAATCGAACAGAGTAATGAATGTTTACAAACACCATTTCGGAGAACATTCGCTTAGGAAAGAGTAGGTGGCGCCAAAAATAAAAATTCTTCAACCGAAAGGTTTGCGAATTTTATTCAAATCGAAAATGATGTCGATGCTTACTCATTACTCTTTCAGGTACGAAGCTGCATATGCGTTAAAGGTTACCTACTTTCGGGGCAACTGGCCCCAAAAGTATATGGCGCTATAGTATTATACTTCCGATATCTGACGTATAACACGGCGTGGTTACTCTGTAGTGGCATGGTAACCATTACTAACGAGCATGCCGCCAGGCTGGTTCGGATCTCAGCTTTTGCAAAAATTATTATCAGAAGTTCATAATCAGGAAAATAGATTACTAAAGAAAATGAACAAAATCAAAGAGAATAAAGAACAGTTATTAATGCTATTACTTGCTTGTATGGTTGCCATGCCGTTTGATAGATTTGTTGGCGAAACCTCAAGTAAGGCTAGGAAATACAACCCGAATAGGCTCCTTGTGGGAGCAAGCCGTTGGTGCTATACGTAAAAAGGTGTACCTCTGAAAACTTGTTTACGTAAAACAATCGTTGAGGCTAACTGTGAACAAAAAAATGAAAGAAAAGTGGAACGTCCAATTTGCATAAATTGCTCATGTAACGCAGCAAATCGATTGCCTTTCCATGAACAATGGGCTAGCATGAAGTTAAGCGGAACCAGATATATGCTTAATCAGTAGAACTACTAAATAGAGAGTCGGATTGGTTCGTATTGATGTATAAGGAATTACAATTAGAAAGCAACTTTAACTGGTATGGTTGAGCTCTTCACTCGGCCGATACGAAAAGGCTTTCCCTAACAGTATTTGGTTAAGACTTAAAGATATACTTAATGACTCTAGTAAAAGGAAATGATATGAGTAAGAAGAAACGTATACATATAGTATGTTGTGTGGAACCTATTATTAAATTAATACCTGCTAAAGTTAAAAAATTATAGAAAAAGAAGAAATAGTTTCATTTCAGGAATCATCTGCTGGCACTACCCGGGCACCTTTAAAGAGTTGAAGTATTAGCTATGACCAATACGGCCTCAACACCTTTTTTAGTCGGTACAACACTTTTGTTGCTGTGCGTCATCCTATTCCTGACTGACCATATTGGCATTGCTCGCTAAGCAGTTTCAGGAGCCATTAAGCGCACTGACGGATCATGCATCGCTAAAACTGCTAAAAATAGCAACAAAAGAACCGTCTCTTAGATACACCGTTTGACCAATATAATATTCAGTAACTTTTTTTATATATGCATAGAATGGTTGCGTAAGTGCGGATACGTGCTTACGAGACGGTCGTGACCGTTTTCTCTCTTTCTTTATTTTGTTTCTATTTGTTTGTATAAATCATTGTATGTAGGCAAACAAGTGAGAGCCTACTCTGTAGCTCCTGTGATACTTTCGCCCACGCTGTCGATATCGTTGTATGGCTCGAGCTTTGTCTGAGTATTTTGCGCCTTATATTAGTGACTCTGGGATGGAGCGCGAGAGCGGTTTACGTTGCTCGCTTGTGTTGCCATTAGTTGCGCTGCTGACCTTGCTTTATTATGAGCGTTTGACTTCCTTCGGAAAGCTGGCGGTAGGCTCCTTTTCAACAAAAAGAAACAGCGCAACAGCAACTGCAGTACAAAGGGCAACTTTAGCTGGTAATCAGCAGCAGAAGGGCAGCTCACCTACCTACTCCAGCTCAGTGGCATGCTCTTTAGACTGGCTTCCCGCTGTTCCTGCTGTCTGCTGGCATTTATGTTGCATAAAGCTCTTTGGAGGGCCTGCTGCAGTTGTCGCTGCTGCTACGGTTGGCGCAGCTGCCCTCCTCCTTAGGCTCCTCTTCGCAGCGCTGTGTCGCCAATAGGGAAGCATCAGAAAGGGCGGACAAGCAACGGTCGCGTCGTCCCGCTCCATGGTCAATGCAGCAGTGTTTCCTCATAGTATACTGCAGGCGGTCTAGCGCATATAGCAGCCATATCAGACTGTTTTTCTCTTGCTGAATCTCCCCTCATGCTCCTGTGCCTACTCCAACGTTGGGCCACGATCGGAGTGCTGCCGTCATCACGACCACGAACCATAACTCGGCCTCCACAGCCGGCGCAGTCAGCCGCCGAAGAGGTAGAGCGATAAGAGCAAACGCTACGACAGCGACGGCGACAAGAAGCGTGCATGAGGCTGGTGGAAACGAGAACAAAATGCGAGCCTGCTTTTGCCTGTCTGGCCAGTAGCAGCAAAGACGACTCGAGGTTCCGCTCGCCACCTGCGTCTACCCGCAGACATCGACAGAGAGAAAAACACAGAGATAGGAGGAGAGCCAACAGTCGCTTTGGATCTTCGGAAACGGACCGCTGTGAGTGGCTACCACCGTATGGAACTGTCATAACTCTGTGAAGAAATTGCTGACCTTACTAAACTGCTCGTGTGTGGAGTAGTGCGCTGCAGCGGGAACATTACAGCGGTCTATACCAGCAGTACGAGTGGTCGATACCAGTGGTCGGAGAGCAGCGGTGCAACAGTAGGACCAGCAGCCTTATAGAGAAATGGGGTAAAGGGGTGCGTCTGAATTAGCTTAGCCTAAATAATTTCGGCCTGAATGACCATCGTCTGCGACCATAATCAAGATTCAAAGACCATAGCCGTCTACGTTGTTGTCAGGCCGAAACAGGACTAAAAAAGGCCCGTTCCTGCGTGTCTATACAGAAGTCCAGTCAAGCAAGAAGCAAGCGACGTCGCGTTCGCCGTCACCGTGACCTTTGTGCTGCTATTGTTAAAAGAGCGGAAAGCCCTCCGAGGTAAGCGCGTATCACAGTTTGCCTTCCCGTGAATGATTCTCCCTGCCTGCCTGCTTCGCTGTTCCTCTATCATTCCGTGAGTGAGTGTGTGTGTCCCTGCTACTAAGGCAAGCGTTTTGGTGGGGACCATTGGCTCCATCCAACTTTGTCGTATTGCTTCGGCCTGTACTAATGCCCTTATCGCCGCTAGCCTCCTACAACCGACTAACTCGACAACGCAGCCGTCGCCAGGCCGTTAACGGCAGCAGCAGCACAAAACAGCTCTCGTGCGTCGCCGTGTGTACTCTTCTTGACTATCTGACCACTGCCTGACTATCGCAGAGTCTGGCTTAGTCTCTGTTCACACGTTGGTTGTTAGCGAATGTGCAGTAGAGTGTTTGCTGTCTCTGGTGCTAAAGCTTTTAGCTGTTCCTGACTAGTTTGCCATGATCTGACCAATTGCTATTTTACGAGACGTTCTAAATACGGTCGCAGTTATACAACGACAGGACGTTACGTTACATTTACGTAACAAGTGCAAGAGTACGGAGAGCCATTCGCGTTGCCCTTTTTTTCCGCAGAGACAAAACAGATCTGGCTGTTCGGCAAGCTTCTTAACGAGCTGACGTATAAACGAGTTGACGACGAATAAAAAGAAGCAGCAAATATCTTGGCAGTCCGATCTCCGACGGCAGGAGACTCCCACAGTCGCGTCTGGTACCTCTGTCTTGTACCAGGTGCGCGGCTGTGCTAACAGCGAAAGTGTCGTGGAGATATCGCCACATGCGGTGAGCTGCACTTAACGGTTGAAGAAGATCACTGCGCCACCGTGAAGCTCAAGCAGCGGTAAAATTTGTGTCGTTTGTTCAAAGTACAGTGGATTAGCAGCAGCAAATTAGGTTAGGAACTAAGTCGATTCCCCATCTTATTTGGTAACCAGTGTGTCTTTAGTAGCTTGACGGATAGCATTGGGGTCTCGGGGTGCGGTTTTCGACGAGATTTTCAGTGTGTCTTGCTTTGCATGGCCACCAGCGACTTTTGCGCTCCGAGCTGTATCGCCTTGCTCACCGATCTTGTCTGAAGGGTGGTGGCGATTTTACGATTGCAGAAAAGCTTCAATTCGCCGAAAAAATAAACGAAGCATTTCCTCTAATCTAGTAAAGAGAGAGAGAGAAAATTAAGCCAAATTGTGGATGTCTATGCGTGTACGTGTGCAAAAGTTACAAGCAAACGTTGTGGCGTCACAGAACCGGCAACTGTTCCATTTGTTCACAGCCAACTACGAAGTTTCGTCGTTTTTATTTGCTTATTAACGTTAGGGTTCACGCACTTGAGAGAAGTACGTTATTAGATTTTGTGTGCCATTCACTGTGAGAAGTCATACAGCTTTGAACGTATCAGCAAGTTCATTCTGGTTCGCCTCCATTCTCACACGCCACTCGCTACTACCAACAGTTCAGTTCCTATACCTCGACGATAATTATCACAACGAAAAGAAGACACGACTGTTTGAGCAAAAGCTACAATTGGCGCCAACTCGCAAGTAATATCTGCCCCGTCAGCTGCGGGCTGTACCCCCGCCTATCGACTACAGCTAAGGCAATTCAGCGTTGAAAGACCAGCAGGTGGCCGTCAATGCTGTCGTAGCTAGATGCCAAACGACAAAACAGATTTTTTCGAATTCACGTCCCAGTGATAGCAACCGAAGCAAGAAGTACAAGCGACAGAAATAAATTCGAAGTAATTTCACCGTTGCGATCACCTCGCATGCTGAAGTCGTACCTAACAGTAGTTAATTAGCAAAGAGCCAAGGTCATCGCAATCGATGAGCAAATAGTAGTTGAAATTTCGAAAGTCGAAAAAGAAAATAAATCCACCCTAAACAAAGTAGGAACTCTGCAGCGAACCAGTTTAGTCCCCCTAGAAAGCGTCAAGCGTGAGCACATCTAAGAAACACCACTCAACACATACGCCGGGTACACACAGGTAAGAAAGTCAAATCAGGTGAGGTCAAGTAGGCTGCCGTGATGGAAGTAATGACGGGCCCGAAGGCAAACAGGCATATTGTTTCTAGCCACGTGTCAGGTCCGTTTCAGACCTCACGATATATTAGGTTAAACCGAGCTGGATGGTTTCGTCTGCTACTGCCGTGAATGCTGGTGAGCGCACAGTGGCGTCGTGCAATAACAACGAATGAAAATGGTTGTTTTTAATTAACGAAACGGAAAGAAATAGTTATTTGATAGTGAAGTAAGGTTAAATTGATAAGCATTTACTAACTGTTGTTATTTTAGTTATCGTTTTATTTTTGTCGTTTTTGCTTAGGCTGACGATAATATATAGTATGCTACAGATAGCTCGTGTACGGATTTAGCTGGAAGCGAATCAACAGGCAAATATATTTATTATCGTGACTATTATCGCTAGCTTACGTCGTCATCCGATCTTTTTATCCCGCCTGAACAAGATGACTGACTGCGTCATGATAGAAGCAGCAAGGTCGTAATCCCGAATCCTAGTCAACGGTCTTGCCGTAAATGTAGCCAGCGACGATGTGGATAAACGCAACTGCTTCATTTGAATGCATCGCTGCTGAAAATGGGCACTGATCTATAGGGATCTTATACATGTAGCTGCGCGTACTTCTATCTTAGTTCATCTTCTTTCTATATCGTTGTACTAAAGGGCTCATTTGAATAACTGGAGTCACTGTCTGTTCCATTGGTAAGTGCGACTAAGCATAAGAGCACCACGATGCTAACTTTCCTACACAAAGCAATGCGGGCCTCGCGATAAACGCCTGCATTTTGTGCTACCTATCCACACTCGTTGCTAGGTCAGCTAAGATCTACCTTATTAGACACTTCGATTCGTCACTGTCGGTTCGTGTCTTGCGAACGCGGCGAGTAACAAAAGTAGCAGCAAAGACGAAGCGAACAGTAACTACATGCGTACATATTCGTATTTACCAGGCCGCTTCTTACAACGCCTATTCATAAATCGACTATTGACAGATCGAGGCAGATGCGATATGCTTTTATAATAAGAAGGTAGGCCGCTGGCCACATTGACTAAGGAACGAACCTACTAAGATCACCTAGTAACCCGTACGAAGTCACGGACGTAAAGTAGAAGTTTACGAAAAATTTATCCTGCCTAAATATATAAACATTAGATTGTAGTCATACGAAGAGATATAAAAAGATACTCATGGAACCTGTTGGCGTTAGATCTGAGCGACTTCTTAAAGGTAGCAAACGTTCAAATATCATTTATATATATATATATATATGTAGTTTGCAAGATGGCAAGTTGAATTTGCTTTGAACGTGGGTCTAATTTAAGTTGAAGTAAATACGCCGCACACGCGATCTTTGATACGTATCACGAGTCACCTGCCGATTTCTATTTGTTAATGCCAATTTAAAGACATCAGGCATAAGGTATCAGACTAAGGTTGTCATGTATAAGAATATACATTGACTTGCTGGGGTTTTGCAAATTGATCCAATCAAGAAGCGTCTTATGGAACGTACATATAGGCAATCAATGATAGCAGCCTGTAATTAACACTTCTAACAGCAGCGTCTTTGGCACTATAAATCAACAGCTACTTCCTTGCTGCTCCTAGTGACCTCGATGATTGATGATTTGAATCTCATTGATAATTCGTAGGTCTTTTCCCGTACGCATCGCGTGTGGCTTAATGTGCACAGTTCCGCCTCCATGGAGATTCGGCAGCCGCAAGTGTCAAATGCTCAACAGCCATGAAGGGAAACTGGTAGTGGGGCTTGGAACTAAAGCAAAAGGTCAAATGCTTCGATCTAGTCTGCTACTCACTCTAGCACTACCAGGGACAAAACAGCCGTAAAGGAAATGGCAACACCTTAGAGGGTTTCATCGAGTAAAAGTGAATCTGTTCCCGCCACCTTCGCTCCGTCCGTCGAAGCCTGATGGGAGTATCTGTGGGCTTCCGCTCTCGCGTTCTCACAGTCCTTCTCTATATTTATCGCTCCTGCACACACATACACGTATTTCTGCCCTACATGTCACTGTCAGGCTGAAGGAAAGCAATTTGCTGATCTTCAAATCATTTGTACGGCTTTCTACACAGGACATGAGCATTCGATTCAATAGCTTCATAGAAATTGTAGGTCAATGCTGTACTTTAATAATAAGTGCGATCGATTTTTAACGAACCGAGTCCGCCACGTGGCACGAACTAATACAAATGGTAGTAATAATATGTAATACTTCGATTTTTGGATAGGTTTGAAGTTGCTCTTCGTGATTCCGCCGCTTATGGAAGCCGAAAACAAACGAAGACTCGGTTTTGCATTTCTACAGCTATTTTTAAGCTACTGGTAACACCCTTAACTAAATTTTGAGTGAGTATACTATGTACCTCAAAGTTTTTAATTAGACTTTTTCAGATGGCTGGCGACAAAATACATTATGAAGATGGGCGATAACTTTTAATTCTGGTTATATACGAATATGAGACGGTATCAGACCAAAATAATGCCGACTAAACGGGCTTGTCGTCAATTGTATCTCGATACTTGTGTGGCTATGGGAAGAAAATGGATTTTTGGTGGGTGTCTTCTTAATTTAAAATTGAATTATAATACCAATCGTGCTCGATCGTTACATGATGTCAAGAAAATAGTCCGATGGCAAACTGGTTTACCTTTTGCCTACGACAGAACGAGTAGTTCTATGTTTCGCTGTCGAACCTGCTACTTGATAAAAATGTATGACCGTTCCTCTTTCTTACAATAGATGACGAGGACAAGGAGAGGGTGTTTAAAAATGGTGCGCCTTTTTTGTTTTTTTTTTTGGCATCACCGTCGTAGACAAAAAGCTATTGGGCGTAAGTCTCATTGAAAGACCAGACTGTGCAAATAAAAGCAAGCAGTGCTACCACAGCACAGCGGAAATCGATCTGTTGCAATTATCTAAAAGTGTGTATACAATCCGCATGTGCTATTCAACCGAGCTATATTTTATCCGCAGCGGTGTATGGTGCAGGACGTCAATTGTAAGCGGGAGGCCCGTTATGAATTGGAAGTTCGTTACGGTTCAGCCGCATACGTTACGATATATTTGTTTTGCTTCTGGGAGGAGTTCAGAAAATGATATGTTACAGAAATAGCATAGTATATTGAAACATTATTGCTAGCATAGATGCAACCAATATCTAAAACCAATAGATCATTTAGAGGAATTTTCATTTTGTTGGCCTTTTTCCCTGCCCCTTGTAATTGATGGCTTCTATCTCATAAGTTGTTATTCACCCAAAGGCTGGCTATTACTCGCGTTAGCTTTGTTATCTATAAGTGATTAAAGTAAAAGCGTCCATTCCACATTGATTCTATGGGAGCTATTCATATATTTCAACGAACTGAAGACAAAACTGCTATTCTTTATTAATGCAAAAATCCTTGCTCAGACAAATTTATTCAAAAAGACAGTGTATAATTGTTTTTCATCCGAAACTGTTCGCAGGTAGATCCGGAAACAACAAACTTTAAAGGTAATGTTTTAGGCCGCTGTAGTTAGCCGCCGTTGACTGACGTCGGCCTTCAGCCGGTTAAACTGGAAACGCCCTGATGACAAAAACTGGTCGTTGAAAATGTTACCAATTTTTTTAGAAATCACCGGTCAGTCCACAGCCACACTGACGGAGTCGGCTTATATGTTGATAGCAGTATTAGCGGTACAGCGCTTCTCACGGAGAAAATACGCTAGTACAATGCATAGCTCTTAACCTCGGACGTTCAAAGCCAAACACTTAAGCGGTATTCTTGAATGTCCGGATTTCTCCATATATATAAAGATAACCGACAATAGTCGTTTATGTGGAAGATTCTCCCATTTAATTTGCTTCTTCGCGGACAATGTATGTATAGGCATGCGGAGCACCAGCAGAATGTATGCTGAGGTAGCTGAAGTCCCGAAATAGATGGAATCGAAGGCCATGCTCCTTTGGGTTTATCGGGTGCTCCGAGTAATCCGACTGTGTATGGGCAGACACAGGGCCGCTTGCTTCCTAAAGCCAACCCAACTGCACGAAAGGGCAATGGTTGCAGGCCCTTTCATCCACCGATGCCTAACGTTCAGTCTTGATGCAATACAGCGGCTTTTAACGTCGGGTGAACTACCTTGATGCTCGCTTTCAGTTTCGTTGGAACACTCGACCGATTCTGTTGTAGCAACAAGCTCTACGCGCGCAAATATTTCTTGTTCAGGCGTCATCTTAGATGTTATAGCATACCCAACTTTGCAGTTGTAAGCCAAGACTTTTCAGTTGTGCTTTCTATCCTTATCATTGATATAATTTTCCCGTACTACATAGGTACTGCTTAATCTGAAAGCTATAACTTCCCACCAAGTTAGTTCTGCTCCTTGATATTATTAACACGGAACAATTTGTTGAGCGCAAGACTTAATACACTTCAGCCTTGCCTTCTAGCGTCTCTTAAGTTATTCTCCTTCTATAGCATGGTCACACTATGTTTGTCGTTTGCTAAGGAGGAAGAAGCGTCGTGTCTAGAATAGCGATGGATTCATTAATTAATTCTCTTCGACCAGGAAAATCTTGCGAGGCGAGCGCATAGTCGGGCCTTGAGCCGGATGGCGCTATTTTTGCAACAAGCTAGGAATAATGCTTTTTCTTTCTGTTTCTCTTCGCTTTTTGTCGGCCTAAAATCCCGTTACCGGCCTCCAACAAAGGACGTAAAGAGAGTAGCAGTGATTTTGGAAAGCGAAATGGGGTATCAAAGAAGGCACTTTTATGCTCGATTTTAAGACTGAAATGAAGCGCTTTAAAACACCGTTTTAAGTCGCAGAAGGTTTTCGACATGTTGGCCGTAAGCCGATGACGAATGCACAGGCGAAATCAATGATTCCACGGCGAACGAAGTAGAAAATTGTTGTTCTAGACGACGTGCTACTGCTGATGGAATTGTAGATGTCAACAAAGC